TGTGGGAAACAGAAATGTTCTTTCCCTCAATCCTTACATACTGAAGGGCTCCTATATGAAACCACAGGAAAAATAAATATTAGGAAAATGTGTTTTACCATTGACTTTAATGAGAATAAAATTAGGATGAGTCTAAATGCTTTTAAAATTCCCTATTCCTCACACATAAATGACCACAAGTAAGTTATATGAGAGGTAAGGAGTTTTGTTGGTGATTTTTTTTATTGGACCAACTGCATGGTTGGAATAAAGTTAGACAAACTTTTGAATTCAAGGCATGTCCAATAAAAGATATCACCCACATAAATCATTGCCCCTTATATAATTCCTGGACAATCACAGCTACAAATTCAGTCCGATGCTACCACAAACAAGCTAATAAACTATCCTCCAATATATTGCCCTATATGATGCTTATTAGATGAATTCTAGTTTTCAAAAGACTGGATCCAAATTCTAATTCAGTGGGCATGTCTACATGTGCAATTAATGTGAAGCAATAAACTCCAGAGTTTATTGCTCTGGAGCTTACTGACTTTTGAACGTGTGCCTGGGAGCACAGCACATTGAGCTGGGTCAGAGCAGACCTGGCTGGCAGGGACTTGGGGGGTCAGCCTGTCAGTCTGGGGCTGCTCCCCCCCAGCTCAACATGCTGCAGAGGGCTTGGCTGGGGCATGAATGTGATTAAGTGCAAAGCTAGTTAGCAGGCAGCCGTCTGCACTGAAGCACCCTTTTGTTCCAGCCAGCCGGGCAGCATTTACATATATGCTGCTGCAGTGTTTTTCACTCTGCAGCAGGATAGTACTTGTATTTACAAATACTACCCCGCTGCAGCACAAATAGTTTACACCAGCCTAAAAGGGGTGCATGTGTAGATGCTGAGACATTTATTATGCAGCTAATTAGTCTACTGTGCAGTAAATGTCTTGTGTAGAAGTGCCTAGTTGGGTATGAAAAGCTCCCAGTTTAGTCAAGGTATTTCATGTATATATCTTCAGGTCAAATACAGCTCTGGATATTATCTACTATACTAATAACTATCTGTCAATCAATACGGTAGCTCTAATAAACACGGAGAATCTGGGTACTAAAAGCCTGGCTGATTGTAAAATTCTGGTTTCAGACAGTTGTTTCCTTAAGGGTTCAAGAGATGTTACTGGGCACCCACAATGCTGTTTATTTTCTCCTTAGTTCCTGCAATTCTGCAGTATGTTGGTATACAGTCCTTTCTGTATTTACAAGTTGCTCTCTCTGCATCGCTGTCTTAGCCAGTGATAGCTGGATACATCTTTCTCCTTAGTATGTTTTTACAGTTAGGGTGGCCAAAATCTGGAACTAACTTCCCAGGGAAGTGGTCCTCACCCCTACCTTGGGCAAATTCAAGAGGAGGTTGGATGATCACCTGTCTGGGGTCTTGTGAGCCCAGCATTCATTCCTGCCTGTGGCAGGGGGTCAGGCTAGACAATCTGTTCAGGTCCCTCCTGACCCTAGCTACTACGAAACTATACAAAGAGCAATCAAGAATTTTAAATGATTCCTTACCTTGTGGGATTTTCCAAGACATCTGGATAGAAACACTCACTAATTTCAATATAAGCTAAGTGTCTGGTGGCTTTTGAAAATCCCATTAGGTGCCTACTTCCTTGTTCATGAACCCAAATACAGTCATTTTCACTTAACATAAAATGAAGTGAACCAGAATATAAAACAGAAGAAAAGACAGGTTCCAGAGGAAGTACAAGACCAGATTCTGTTCTGTCTATTAGGTATCTAAATGACACAGAAATGTCTAAATGTGGTTTCATTCTGTACAGCTACTTTTTTAAAACATTGTCCTTTAAGAAGCAAAGGAGGAGGAGGAAAACCTTACACCTTCTGTATTACCTGTTTTTCAGGGACTCAAGCAAGATGGGATAGGATTGCACTTAGGCACCCAGGTCCATTTACGTGACTAATAGGATAGCAACATGCAGCTGCAATCTGTTCACAGAGAGGACTTTTAGAAATGTACAAGGTGTTGTGCACAGAACACCACACACATCAGTTTCATAGCTATGCCCACTGAAAGCTGAGGCTTGTCAACCTCAACCCTGCTTGGCCAAGCTGAAGGATGACTTTTTATTTCAGGCAACAGATACTAGGCTAGCCATGTGTGGCTGCATTTTACATAGGCCTGGACGGGGATAAGGAAGAACTGCAGAATTTGCACTGGTCCCTGATTGGGGACATGATCATTGTGCTCAACTTCATGGAAAAGGCAATGCATCAAATACTCATTTCAGACATCACTCTTAAGTCATAACCATCCCTATCATCTTATATGCATGCCAAATGGAACAACTAACTGGTATGTGATTTCCTATTGCTGGCTCTCAGCTCATATAATAGGAGCAGTGTTTACAAGAGCAAAGGGCTGTTTAGAATTAAGTGTGAAGGAAGTATGAACTATATTTCAGGGTAAAAAAACCCAAACAAACCAAAACCTATATTTTAGGTAAAAAAAAATCCCTTCTGATGTATACTAGGGGATTGCCTAGATGAAGTAAAACATCAAAAGGGAAAATCCACATGTCAGTGTTTTGTTGACACGATGAAATCCCAACAAGTGCTTCTGTTCAAAGGGATTAAGTAGAGCCCAGAATTGACAGCTCATTGTTCACTGAACCACATCTGAAACTATCAAAAAGCAAACAACTCCTGAAAGACAGAGAGATCCAGAGGCAGGTAGCAAAATGAGAAGATCAGCCTCCTATCTCTAGATGATCAATTAAAGCTAATGTGAAGTGGCAAATTGATTTTCAATGTGTGCACTGTAGGTGAGGAGACCTCCAACTGCTTCTCCCTTTACACACAGCATACACCAAGATTATTCCAGAGGCCATAAAGTGATTTTAATGCTCTAACAACTAGGACTCCATTGTGCTCTGAGCGCACAGCCGATAGGTGGCAATGAGGCAATGCACTGATGGTGCTGCACCTCTGAAAGCCACGTTGGTACCCAAAGTCCAGAGATGCCACAGGTGCTATTCTTCGGGACCAGAGTGAAGCACAGCACTTGGTTACAAGGCCTGGTGGGTAGCCAATGCAAAGTGGACAGGGTTACAGGTCATGCCTTGCCCAGGTCTCTCTCGATTTACTGAGTCTCAACATTCCAGAAATTTGAAGGATTCCAAATGCACAGAGTACAAGAAAGCAGGATAAATAAAGCTCCTTGAGACCTTTTCTCCAGTATCTCTTTGCATTCACACAGGGATAGACATGACTGATCACCAGGGATCTGGGTTTTCTATTTGCTGTGGAAAAACGTGGATTTTCTCTTTTACAAGAGAAAAATGCAGGTTTTCCTCTTGAAAGAACACAGCCGCAGGAAATGGCAGGCTACCCCTTGCAGACTGGCAGCCTTCCAGGTGTTTGGAAGGTGGGAGGGCTGCAGCAGTGCCCTGGCACTGTGGCTGCGGTGAAGCAGGAGGGCTGAGGCAGCACTCAGTGCCATCAGTGAGTGCAGCTCTGCACTGTTGCCAGCAAGGCCCGCCTGGAGGTGCCTGCCCCCCCAAAGGGGGAATGGGGTTGGCGGGGGGCTCTTCAGGGGTGGTAGCGAGCTGCATGGCTGGGCCAGGCCAATGCCCATGCTCTCAGGTGTGTGGTGGCTGGGATATGCTGCCCAGGGGAGAGTGAGGTGTGTGGCCAGGCAGTGTGGGAGCCCCAGCCCAGGGTATGGGGTGCTACAGGCATCCCCTCCTCCTTCCTACAGCCTGCACTGGGCCAGGCTTGCTCAGCCACCACCCACACGAGCCGGAGCTGCCACAGCCACCATGTTTCAGATTGGGTGGAGGGGGCCTGGAGCCCCTCACCCTCCTCTGGCTGCCTGAGCATGGCCAGGCAGGAGCCATGCTCCACTTCATGCTGCTGCTGGGAACATGGCAGTGGCCTTCCCTGGGGCCATGCTGCAGCCCCAGCACCAGCTAGCAGTGTGAGGCAGCGTGAGGTGCCCCAGCCACTGTCTGTGGTTCTGCATGAGTTGCATTGCAGGTCCCTCGTGCTGGAGGCCATCCCCACAGACTGTCATCCTGCATGGCCAGGCAGGAGCCATGCTCCACTTCATGCTGCTGCTGGGAACATGGCAGTGGCCTTCCCTGGGGCCATGCTGCAGCCCCAGCACCAGCTAGCAGTGTGAGGCAGCGTGAGGTGCCCCAGCCACTGTCTGTGGTTCTGCATGAGTTGCATTGCAGGTCCCTCGTGCTGGAGGCCATCCCCACAGACTGTCATCCTGTGAGTCTGTGTAGGGCCAAGCAGGATGGGGGCAGCCCTCCATCAGGGCTGGTGCGGGGATAGGGGGCTGCAGGTAAGGAGTGAGGGGCACTGGCAGGGCTGGGGGACTGTGGCTCAGGAGTGAGGGGCACTGGTGGTGGGGAGGAGGACTATGGGTTGGGAGTGAGGGGCACAAACAGGGCCAGGTGGCTGCAGGTTGGGAGTGAGGGGCATCAGCAAAGACAGGGGCTGTGGGTTGGGGTGAGGGGCACCAGCATGGCCAGGGGGAGGGAGTGGGAGACCATGGGTCAGGAGTGAGGGGCACCAGCAGGGTCAGGGGGCTGTGGGTTGAGAGTGAGGGGCACTGGTGGGGATGGGGGGCTTCAGGTTGGGAGTGAAAGGGGGGTGGGGCAGACAATAGAGAATTCACAATTTTTAAACAGAGAAAACCGGGATCCCTGCTGATCACTTATTGTCTGGGCCTCAAAAAAAATGAGACCAGTGCATTTCACTAAGTGGTCTGAAAATTCTTCCTCTTTTAGAGCCTCTTGTTTTATCTACATGCTGTTTCTCCACTCTCTCCTCCCTAGTCCCTCTCTTGCATTAGTGCCATTTCCAAATAATTTTACTTTTCCCCCCAAAATGGTAGCAATGGGATTTCTGTGCAATTTGATTTGTAATGCACCTTCTATCTGCATAATGAACCAACTGGATTATTTGCCTCTACTTAAAATGCATTCTGCAGTCCTTACCATTCAAGGTGGTTTTCCACAAATGCAGACATGGGGCTGATCTGAACAGTGTAAGTGTCGTTGGCTGAATATTCAAACAGGCCGTAGTAAGGATTGAAGAGCTCCTGAGACAGAAGGAAGAAGAATTCTCGAGAGGGGCCACTGTAGTCCAAGCTAGAAAGGAAACAGATATGAAATGAGTTTTATATGCTTTCATGTTTTGCATCTGCACTGTCTGATAGCTTACCATGTTTCTGTGCAAGCGAATATTACTCACATGTTTGCTGATGCTAAATCTTCTCTCCTCAGACTCAATACAGACTTTAGGCAGAGCCCTGACTATATCACAATGCATAACCTGCCCAAGCCCTACTTTAACCTGCCCCAAGCCTCCTAGGAAGCATCCAGCATAACCTGCCCCAAGCCTCCTGGGAAGCATCCAGCTCAGGCACATCCCAGCATCACAGTTTCTTCCTACTTTCCCCATTGTTCCAGAGGGTTAGTAATTTACAGCTTCAGTTGGACTAGTTCCTCACATTTTGTTCCTTTGTTGCAAGAAAGCCAAGAAAGTTATGCAGCTCCTATGGGCATGGGACTCATAGCTTTGGTATCCCCATTGGTCAGAAAAAGTGGGGAAGTAGAGAAGCACAACCTAGCCTCAATATATTAAACTTTTGGACACTTTCTCATAGTGCCTGGCCCTTCACCTCAAAGGTGAACAAGGCAGGGTTGTAACACATCTTTTAATATTGCTAGATGGCATGCTGATTTTTTGCTTTTAAGTAGCAGGCTTTTCTTTTAGTTTTCTGGTGGTTTCAAGTGTTTGGTACCTGGGGCGGTGGGGAGCACTCTACAACCCACTACTTATATTTAAAGCAAACCTTGCTCTTTATTTTTATGGTTTCTCATTTGAAAGTCCCATTCTTTTTGTCCTGTTTTGTTTTCAAACTGGTTTTAAAGACCACTCATTTATTTCAGGGTAGAAAGAAAGCTTCATGAAAGCATGAATCCTAACTAGGATGTATTTATTAAAAACAGACTGTTCTCTAATAAACCTAAGCAGTTTTTTCTATCCAGTTTAATATAAACCTCCATATAGTAATAAGAACAAACTATTTGCAGTTATGTACCACTTGGGGCCAAAGCTGTTCTGAGGCGAGCGTTTTGTCTTTACATGTAGAAAAATCAAAGTAAGTGGAAAATTCTGCAGCAGGATCAGGCATTTAATAAAAAGGTTGAAGTTATGGTGTAATTTCAAGTGTCTGACTGAGTCAGGCTCGAAGGAAGTAAAAGGCAGGCTTGTCCATTTTCTATGCTACATTTTGCTAGGGTCATTTATCAGCTAGCAGCTCTGAATCTTGAAGCATGCACTCAGATTAAAGCCATCAAAGGGTATGCACAAAGGTACATGTTAGCAGCTTGAAAAAGGGAGGGGAAGAGCCCCTGCTCCAGAGCAAGCATCAGCTGTTGATCTATAATTGTTACATTTGCAGAATAAAGTAACAATACAAGTGAGGGAAACTGACCTAATTTTGGCCAGAACTGAAGCAAGGCTAAAGCTGGAGAGGTTTGACTTTGGCTATAAACAAATATAATTATATCAATATCATGGGATACAGAGACAGGCTGTTACAATGCAAGTGATAGTTCTGCGTGATTTTGTAGCAAAACATGTATAGCAAAGAATGGGCCAAATTAATGCCTGGTGTAACTCCACTAAAATCAACAGAATTGCATTAGTTATAAATCTGACTCAATGACCATATTGGATATGGGGTTACATTTGCTGTGGCTTGGACAAGGAGGTATACATTAAAACTACCTGCACTCATACATCTCTGATATGGGCCTTCCATAAAAGGTTTGCAGGAGCTATATTAATACAGCACACATCCTTGGCGACCCAGGCAGCCAAATTTCTATATTGCATTGGCTCTCTGGGTGTCCAGTCTTCTAGGGCACAGGGAAAGCCATGGCTACTGTGCCATTACAACCTACTCATCAGACTCTCTATAACTGGGGGACCCTCCAGCATGATCAGTTCTGGCATTCAGCAATATAAGCCATAACTGATATTGTCCTCAGATGTAAATTAATCAAGTTTTTATAATTTGCAGTTTCTTCAGATTTCTGCGAGGCACAACAAAAGTTACTAGAGATTTGGGGAAAACAATACAGCTCATGATATCAGCCCTTGCTAGAGTATTAGACCTGTTTTACAAATGGGTAAACTAAGGTACCGAAAAAGGAATATGGTTTATTATTTCAGGCTGATGACAGAGTTAGGAACAGAATTCACTGTACTACAACTTCTCTACCTATGACATGACACTGACTCTCTGGACATCCACAAGTTAACGGGTTAAGAAAATCCATAATGTCAACAGCATTGAAAGGACATCCCTTTCTAACTGGTGACTTACTGTGTTTTTACCTTACCTAGCAGCTGTTAAGGTGAACTCCACAGATCCAGCCTCTTACTTGATCTGCTATTTATAAAATGAAATCAGCAGTAACTACCATGAACATTGACAGCTGAGCCAGTGTCTTAGGGCTCTAGCATTTTTGGAACTGAAGCTGTATCTCTTGTGTATCCCTAAATACTTTCTGTGTTGCTATTTAATGTACAGCACAATTAAAATGGGATTCCAAGCTTTTCTTAGTTGAAATGCTGGAGAGTTTCAAAATTTCTTTCTGTAATTAAAGTCTAGAGCCTGGCTGTTCATGTATCAACTGGCAACAGGTGAATTCTGAAAAGTTTGGTGAACACACAAGTTCAGTTGCTTGCTCAGATCTGAATTGGACTATCGGAACCTCTTGAGTCTGCAAGATTGGCCAGGAAGTCTCACAAGTACAGGCCCTCTCAAAAGATTACTACCTGGGTCAGTTAAGCAGTAAGAAAGGATCTCTAAACAGACCTATGCTCATCACTCCAGCCAGATCCAGGAACTAAAGTTGTGAATAAAAATATGAAAACCAGAAGGTTTGGGAAGAATGTATTTTTGAATTGCAAAGAAGGTTCTGTTTAGAGGCAGTATTTTCCTACAGTGCCATGGCAAGGAAGTTTGGCACTTGGGGCAAAGCCCGCAGCGGCAGTCTGCCCTCACCTCATTCACAGATCCTGTGGGCATATGCTCCTCCATGCTTGCCCTGAAGTGCATGCAGCAATGGGAGCTGCCCTCCCCCCGTCTCTGCATCCTCCCAAACGAGCTGCTTGTGGCTCCGTCCTGTGCACTGTCCTGGCTGGCCAGCACCTGTCGGCGCCCCTTCGCTTTGGCACCGGGGCGGTTGCCCTGCTCATTCCCCCCCTCCCTTTGCTATGGTACTGCTCTCCTATCGATTAAAGAAAGGGATTATGAATAGGGAGACCAGGATTCTTATTCTCAATCCTGATCCTGACTAGTGTCTGACTGTATGTCCATGTCTCCATTTTCACAACAGGACTATTACATGTGGGATGAGGATGCCCTGACTCTTAGCTCCTATTTTAGGTATACTCTATAGGTCTTTGGGGGAAGGCATTACAGATGTGCTAAGCAGCTTTACTGTCCTAGTTCTGATCATAAGGTTGGGTTACTTGTAATTTATGTCATCTCCCCAGAGATAACAAAGTAAAACTTAACATACAGCAAGAGGATTTGAGCTTTTCCCAAGACCATAGTGCACCTGGGTATATTATAATTCACAGCGTTTAATGGTTCCCTACCCTTCCTCCCCAACAAATGTGACGTAGAGTTTGTTCCGTTGAAGCTCCTTCCGCGAATAGGCCATCACCTGATTGAAGGTGCCTTCCAGCAAATGGTCACGCCGTATAATTAACCTGAAAAGACACAGGAAGAGGGGTCCTGTTAATGGGTACTGGGTGAAACTCTTGAGGAAGGAGTGGAAGTGGAAGAGAGGAGTGAAAGAGGCTGTTATCAAATATGAATGTGGCTGAGGATAAACAGGAGCCATGAAAGGGCCAGGTTCAGTTTTGAATAAAGATGGCAACTGCTGAAGTTGCTAAAGCTGCACCTGCTTGCTCAAAGGCTGATTCTGACCCTTTATTAATATTTATGGATGATGTGATGACAGAGTGGTTACAACATCTTGCTATGGCTCCGGAGGCATGAGCCTGAGTTGTTGCTGCAGATTTGCACTAACGGCTCACCTGTAATAAGTTTGTGTTCCAGACAGGGGCAGTAAAGGTGGCTGGATGTGATGGTAACTACATGTGATGTGCTGCTGACTACAGAAACTGGTATCATACTAGCCTGATGGGCTACTGGACTCAGGATGGACTGATTCCCATTTATTTGCTTAGTGAAGATTTTCCATATCACTGAAAGGTAGATTTCTCCTCAAGCTGGTAATTAGCATCTCTCTCTATAGCATCTTCTGAACAGAGATTAGATAAGCCAGTGGCTTTCCTACCTTTAAGCTGTCACTGCTTTTTGTGGGCTGATTCTGGTGACGCACTAACTTTATATCAGTAGACTTCTGGGGAATTATTTACGTAGCAGACACTGGCATAAGAAAAGGGAGTACCAAGTCCTCTTTGTATCCAGTACATCAATTCCAACCCTCCCATTATCCTCCAGAACAGCCTGAATGAATTGCCCACTGTTTCAGAGATTACCAATGCATTTAGAAAACCCATATAAAACAAAGTATTGGTGTATTTAGAAAATATTCACTGGGCAATATTTTTCAAATGTAGTGAAGATATAATGCTAGGCTTCTGAGATCTTTAAGTCTGCATGGAATCTACTTAGTAGGGCTTTGAAGGGGATAACCAATGGTTAGGGCTACTCAGGCAGTGGAAGAATATTTTGATGTTGACAAGTGTCTGTAATCCTTTTTTCACAACAGATGTGGGTTGGTTTGAAGCCAGCCTGATGCATGAAGTCAACCAGATGCCCAGGAAATAACTTAGAAGCATACAGTACTTTAGCCAAGAACAGAAACTGTCTATGGAAAATGATGAAGAAAGACAAGCCAACTACTGGGCTGTTTGGAATGTGAATATTGGAATAGTTAGGGACAGTGAGGAATAAAAAAAAACCTGACAGGGCCTAATTATCATAAATGCCAGTTCAAATCCAACGGAGCTGCAGGTGATCAGTCCTATGGAAAATGAAGTCCACAGCAGCTAAAATAGTTTCTTTGGACTAGTTTCTGGCTGCACTGACATGTGAACTCAAAGAAAATCTAAAAAGAACCAGAACCTGTCCAAAACTGAAGTGGCATAAACATGAGCAGAAAGTAATCATTAACATTTGTCTGAAAGTGTCCTCTATCATTAGAAATCAAAACTTGTGGAAGAGGTGATATCTTTTATTAGACCACCTAGATATCTGCAAACAAATCATTGTATTTATCTGCAAGCTTTCAGGCACACTCACCCTTCATCAGGCATATATGAATTCATATACGAAATATGAATTTTCATTTCTACCTAGGAGAGCTTTTACAATCTCTGCTCTCTCCTATACCTGATTCTAGTGAGTGTGCCTGAAAGTGTGCCTGAAAGCTTGCAGATAAATATAATAATTTGTTTGCAACTATCTAGTTGATCTAATAAAAGATATCACCTCTTCCATGAGTTTTGATTCCTTCTTCCTCTAGAACAATATAGCTACAACCTGGATACCTCTATCATTAGAGAAATTAGCCTGTTTCCTACAGGTCAAGATATCAACATCTCTTTAAGGGAGATGGGAAAAAGTGTAGTAAAACACTGAACTGTTAGTGACAGGACTCTCATATAAAATGCTCTTTTCCTCCTTTTAGATAAGGGTTTTGCTGTTTGTTTTTTTACATAAAAACAAGTTTTTACTCAAGAAAATGTGTAGTTTACCTTTACTAATGTGTTACTGACGGCAACTAATGTACCCACGATAATAATGTACAAATATCACATCAGTGTCCTGATTCATGGGGATGATGACAAAGTTGATGTTATATTAAATTATTTGAATTACTTGATGTAATACTCACTTAATTTTCCCAGGACCTTGCCCAAAACCTTTGGCTTCAAGTTTTCGATAGAAATTGCGCAGCTTGGCTTCGAAGTCCCTCCTATATGGAGAGGGTGCTCTTGCACTTGCTCTCTGTAACCCTGGTAGGGAAAAGAGCAAAATCCTAGCTTTTACCAAACTTGAAAAGATCTTATTTTTATGCCTGGCATTCCCAGATGAAATTTGCTAAGAAATGTTGCACGAACATTTAACAGGTACATGAAGGTGCTCCTGAGTGCTCATTATTTCCATGGTCTCAATGCCATTAGTAGACTTGTCAGTTAGTATAATTCAATGGTTCCAACACTTCTGGGAAGCTGAAACGGATTTCCAGGAGAACTGTAAAGTTAGTTGCCTGGTTTGCTTGGTATTGACTCAGCCTGAAACTCTCACTGATTGGAATGGAAATTTTGGGACCCTCTGGTGCATATAAGAGCTAGGTGCCCAACTACCACAGACTGTTCCTGGGAGTTAGGTGTCTATCTTTCATTTGTACTTTTGAAAATCTCTCTCCTCACAATCTTATGAAAGATATCATTACGCAGTGGGATTAAACTTCTGGCTCTCAAACCTATTTCTATATAGAGTGTAAGGCCAGGCTGAGGTGGGAATCGGGTTTCTTAAATTAATAGCCTTCTGTATACTGAAGACTCTCAGCCATAAACACAAAACCCTTCGTGGCATCACAGGGAATTTCTGTCAGTTCATTTGCCTAATAAGATTGACATTCACAGTAGATTTTCAGCAATTTGTGACCTGTTTGTTTTGAAGTCTGAATTCTAAAAGGAATTGATAAATTCTTTTATGTAAGTGAGTGCCAGACCACAAAGGACTGGAGAATTGTTCCCATGAAATCCTATTTCTCTATCTCATTAGACAAGAAAGCGAAAACAAGGCTGTTCATGAGAAATGTGGCAGAATACCCTCTATAGGAATGTAAAAATTTCACATTTAGTGGAAGCCCAAAGTACCTGCAAAGATTAATTTGCAGTGATGGAAGGATATTACTAATGGTAATGCAGAAAGGACTATTTATTTGGCATGCAAGGAGGCTCCTTCATGAAGATAGCAATTGCAAAGCTTGTCTTTCAAATGCGGTGGAGATTTCAAGATAGCCCTTTTGAGATCTTTTTAAAATCTGTCTGGGACCCACTTAACAGGGCTTTGAAGGGGATAACCAATGGTTAGGGCTAGTTGTGATCCCTCTTTTTCCATTAGAATTTTTTTCCACAGAAAAAGATAAAGTAATTATTGGTTCTTACCACAAGAAGGAGTAAAAGAGAATAAATAATACATAGCCTGGAATCACTATTTTTGTCATACTCCCATCTTTTCAGAGAAAGGGATAAATGCCAGTGAATGTCTCTTGATACCCTAATGATACAGATATTGGCCAAATGATTAGGTCTTGTCCTCCCCTAATTCCTGCCACTGATAGCCACTACTGGGGCAAACCTAAACTGTACACACTGTGCCACAAAGTGTATTGGTGTGGTTCACACTTGCTTGAGATATGTGACTCAAGTAAGAAGAATAGGACATTTTCCAAAAAAAATCTCCCAATGGCAGGCAACACTTTGGTGTACAACTCTTCCACAAAAGTGCTGAGGTGCATACTTTCAAAGCCACATCTGAGATTTGGACACTCAATGCCCATTAATTTTGATAAGAACTGAATGTCCAAATAGCTTAGGTGGTTTTGCAAATCTCAGCCTAAATGACTTGTTCATATTCCTGGGCAGTCTTTCAAAGTGACCAGGGGGGTGTAGTCAAATTCAAACCCTTCCTGCGTGACAAAGCAAAAGGAAGCCATTTACTGCTCAGATTTCCCTTTCATAAAACAATACCACAGAGACCAACAGCAGGTAATTTTCTAAGAGTGGATGACCTTCTGGAAAATATACTTTAGCCAAACACAACTTATTCTTGATCCAGGAATAACTGAGTGAAATATAACAGCCTGTGCTATGGAGGAGCCTAGATGATCTAATGGTCTTCTTTGACTTTAAAGTTTATGAATCTTGGGAAAAGAAGCAGTCTTGGGAACAAAGTCTGGCTGGATTCTGAGTTTAGGAGAGATGAAAAGTGTTGTGATACATTTGGAATTTGGAAGGCACACTTGGCTTTTGCCATACTCAAGAATGTGCTTACATGTTAATAGGTTAGACTCAGAACACACGGCCTTCTCATTCTAACCATTTGGAAGCTGTGATGATATTTTCTTCTCATTGGAAAATCCCCATCATTCAAACATCATTAACATGCCATGACACATACAAAAGTGAAAGCATTCCATGTATGAACAATGAGAATCTGTCTCAGCATGACTCTTAGTTAGAGAAACACAACAAACTCAAGAGCTCCTTTCATTTTCCTTCCTTTTACCTGGAGAGTTTTGAGGTGACGAACAAGGTGAACAGCGTGGAGAGAAGCTGTACCCAGGATGGAAGGCAGCCTGCAGGGGTATGTAGGACATAATATCCTCTTCAAAGAGGCTGAAAGGAAAAATGATAGAAAGAGGCCTGTTTCACCCTCATGACATGAAGAAGCACAAACATGCAGTACAGTGGAACTCTGCTATGATCAGTTTGGGCAGCCCTTCAATTGATCATTACTTACACAAGAATGATCATTACCTGCAGATGTATGAAAGCAGTGAGCTTCCCAAATCAGGCATCGCTGCAAGGAGCAAAACCTTCATTTTGGAAGAAAAAAGTGAGTTCCATCAGGCATTCTCATGCCAAGGCAGTGCCATATCTACCTATGGGATGAAAGAGCCAAGATCCAAGCCAATAGTAAATGAGGGACAATGCCCATGGGCCAAAAATGAGAAAAGGGAATACACATGCCATTGCTCCAGATAATTTCCCTTTTCATTATGGCTTGTTCAGGTCGTATACTTTGCAACAGGCAACAGCATGACTTAGGTCTTTCACAATCTGGATGAAAATACAGGTGGCTGGAGCAAGCTGTATGCTTTTTGCAGAGGATGGAATCAGCTTGCAGAAACATAATCAAAATCATCACTAGTAAACCCAGGACAACATAAAAAGTTAATTGTTTGCTGTGCTCAGGTATGTACATTGAAGCATTCTGGGCTTTAAAGACCTGATTGCACTGGAGTTCCAAAAGATGCTAAATAAGGCCTTCCTTATATGATGTACATAACATCATATTGTTCACTCCATTGTAGCTCCGCTATTCCTTACTGAAGTGCTTCTTAACCGTTTTAGACTCAAGCCACCCCTTGTTAGAGTTGAGATCCCACTCAGACTACAGAAAAATAATAGGGCAATATTTCTGCTGCAAAGAACCCAGAAAGATCACAACAGGTCAGCATTTTTTAATGCTATGGATTCCTATTTGAAATCTTTGGGTTTATGTTGTGAATCATGCTTGCGCACCTACCAGGGCTAACACTGAATGACACTTCATGGCACCCTAGGGTGCTGCAGCACCCTGTTTGAGAATCACTGCCTTAATGTGATATAGCTTGGCTCACATGGACAGCATGGCCAGTGGCAGACCTAGCAATCCTACAAACTATTACAATCTTTACTTGCAACTGCTTATCATTCAGAAAGGTAAGAAATTCCCTTTCTGTCTTTGAAAACCCCAAAGAAAAATACTGAAGGTGTTTCTGATCTGATCTTGCAACCAAAATACACATCAGAGTAATTAGAAGACTGAGCCCACAGCACCAATGGGAACGGGCTTCTAGATAGTAAAATTTGATACACATACTGTGGTTAAATATGATTGACAAGTGGCTGTAATTGAAACTGAATTTGACTGTAATCATGTGGTACAACTCTAGGAGAGAGGAGCCTAGATTTACCAGAAGTTGGTAAAAGTCACCTAAAATATGTCAAAGGACATAGGATAGAAACAGCCAGCCAGCTTCTTGGGTACCAAGAATGACAAACCGATAATCTGGGTCAAATGGATTACCTCAGTAGAATTACTAAATCTGCATCACAGGACAACTTTTCGAGCCCGTGTGTACCCTCTGTCCGAATGTAATGGATCTTCTCCCTGGAAAGTTAATAACACAAAAATGGGAATGGGCAGGGGAGAAAATCACATCATTGTCAACCCATAAAGCAGGGATGGATTCATTTTTTCTTGCTATTTCTCTTGTCACTCTCCTCAAAAAATGGCAAAGAAACATCTTCACTGACTGCCTTATACATTGTCAAATTTGTACAATAAACCTTATAATGCAACACCTTTCTTTAAATCATCCCAGCTTCCTAACTGCAAAACAAGAGACTTGATATTTCATTTTAGAGATTAGGATTATTTCTCCTTCCCCAATTTGCAAGTAACACTCCCGCTGATATCACTGACTAGTGGAAGCTCTTGCAAGTCAAAGCTTTAACTAATGTACAACCTTCCTTCGACACCATTTTCTTTCTCCATTTCAACCTCATGATCAGGCTGATTGGTAACTTGATTAATACCTGATTGATATGATCAGCCCAACTGATACCTTCAAAGATCTATGACCAAACATCCAGAATATCTATTCATTTTGCAATTAAAATAATGTTTATGTATAGATGACGTAGTATTCCTGAAAGTTGTTGGATTGACAGTCCTGGGGACTGAAGCCCCCTTTATAACCAGAACAAGCTTGATTCTCATCTTACTTGCACCACTGTAAATAAGGAGTAATTCTAGTGAAGTCAAGTGGTATAAAACAATTCTAAGTGAGATCAGATCCAGGCCCATTGAGCATGGCAGACAGGCAATAGCCCTGGAGTCTTTATTAAACTGACCTGGCAACAAGCCAGAGAGCAAACCTAGAGGGAGCACTTGGAGAACGTAAGAACCTAAGAATATAAGAAGTACTATATTGGGTCAGACCATTGGTTCATCTCACTCAGTATTCTGTTTCCACCAGTGGCACAAAGGAGCATAGATCATTCTCTAAAGAACTTCCCTAATGGGATCTCTGCTGGGGTATAAATTTGGGCACCAAATTTGTGTCAATAAAGATGGTTAGTTTGGGGCTCAGTTCTGCAAGGGTCTGAGCACTCTGGTACTGATGTATCAATTTATTCAACTTCAAGCAGGTGAACAGTCCATTTATTGCAATAATTATTCCAAATTCATTTTGACTTAAAGTTAAGCACATACTAAACTGCTAAGCAAATACTAATGTGCTAATGCTAAACTAAGCATATGCTAAAGTGGTTTTTTGGATTGGGACCAAAATTCTCACTGTCTTGCAGGATTAAGCCCTGATTGAGATGGACACTTGACTGGTGGGAGCTTGTGTAAGACTGCCAGGTCCACTCTACAAAGGCTGCTGAACATCTATCAGCGGGTAGCTGTGGATCACTGCTGACCTAAGCTGGAATCAAAGCAGTGACCCAGAGGTGAAGGGCCCAATATCCTGTTACAAATCTCTTTACACATGTGCCAAGCTGTCTGGTCCCCATTATTAGTCAACACTGTTGTCTGCTCCAATGGAGATAAAATGCTCCAATGGAGCATTTTCTGTTCTCTAAAGGATGAGAACTCAAGTTTCAGAAGTTAAAAAAATGTCTGGAAAATTTGATGGTGATGATAAAAAAACCTCTCCGTTACAAAAACATACACCTTAAATACCAGAGGTGTCTTTAACTCTCACTCCAGTTTTATTGGCATGCATTCATTCCTTTTGGAGGCAAGTCTAATCCTTTACACCCTGAGCACTCTGTCTGATTCTCATGGGCAAATAATCAGTCAGCAGGGCCAGAAAAAACTCTAGAAGACTCTCATGGGGAAAACTGGGGTGTCATTTCTGTTGTTCCTGTGCTTGCTCCTATGGGGCATTTAGAAAATCCCTAAACCAGAACCTGAACTGCTGTACACTGGCCCCATACTGGGAGTGAAGCTGATTTACACCTATTGAAGATCTAGCTCCAGATGATTAATTTAAATCCTCAGTTCCCATTTGTTTACATTGTGCTTTTTTATGCTTCTGGTCCTCCCCCCACCCCCCTCCCATTTTGCTCTTCCAAATATGATAAAAAGAAAAGGTGAAATACCAAGAGGAGCATCGTATGACCTAATTACTTTGGAAAGGATTTTAGCTATAGTATTAAGTCCTCAATGAAAAGACACAATGAAAAGACGCAAACAGAATACCACCTTGTTTGTCTTGTTCCTATGTTCTTGCAAAACTTAGGGTTGTTTCCATGGCACGGCCGCAGAACTAATCAAGGGGTAAAATGATGGTTCTGATGTAGTTACACAGTTTTGCCACTGACGTCAATGAAACCACAATTTCAACCAAGACCTCTGAAAAGCAAGATGGTAACTGAACTCGAAACAACAGATCTATAGTTTTTGCCATTCAGGAATAAAGAAAGTGGTGATTAGATTGCCAGTAATTAACTTGTCCCCAGGGACCACAGTTCTTTTCTCTACAATAGGGTGTCTGTGGAAAACAGTAATGCCAACTACATGGACTCTGTTGCCTCACACTGACTTGAATGTTGACATCTTACCAGGCCCTGTTCACATTTTAACCCCCCATTAACTAGACTCATCCATTAAGAAAATACTTCTAAAATGTAGAACAGGAAACAGGTGCTGACAGATGAACATTAAAGAAGAACAAGGCAAAGAGGGAACTAGGGCTAAAAACAGATTTCATTTCTGTTGCAGCATCAGCTGTGCCAGGATGCATACCAGCACAGCTGATCTGACTGATCAGCAAAAACAGATGTTGCCATTGTCCTGCAGGGTCAGGCCCTTGCTGCTCTCAGGGCTTCAGGGGCCCAATCCAGCTCTAATGTGTGCCATGGGAATCCTCTGCAGAGCGTTCCTAGGGTGCAGCAACATGAAACACATATCCCAGGAATCCCTCTGTAGAGTATGTATTGGCAAGCATGGAAAAGGGAACTCCCATAGTGGTTACCTGTTCCATGTTTGTAGACTGAGCCTCAAATCAGGGATTTCTGGAGAGTATCTTTGCAAGAGGAACACCTGGGCTGGTGCTCCTAAGGCTTCAGGGACTTGATTCTGTGCACCTGGGGAATTCCCCTGGGCCCCTGAAGCCCTGGGAAAACCTGCCTGGGGTGACTGGAGAGCATGGGCAGCTCCAGGCTGCCTATGTTCTCCTGGCATAAAGCAAACATTATGTCGGCTGCAAAAAAGTAGCACAAATTTACACTACCTGTTGTCATAGCCACAATTTTGGGCATTTGTGGAATGACAACGGGCATGGATGCCTGTTTCTTTGGACCTTGTGCTACCATAAAAACTTTTATGGCACCACAAAGTCAACAGTTGTTTCCAGTCTATGAGGCAGAGATAAAATTCTTCTGCTTCTTCAGAGAAGCACGAAACATGTCAGAACTAGTGACTATGAACAGGGAAAGGAACCTGTGAATTGTTTTCTGTTTTTAATTAATAAAGGACTCATAACTGCTCATCCAAAACGATGAACTTTGGTGTACAAGTTTGCAGTGTGGTCAGAAAGGTAAACATTTTCAAAAGTACCAGAGGGACTTAGGAACCAAAATCCCATTGACTTTATCTCTGAAAATTTGTTATTATGGGTTTGAGACCAATACCAAGTTGCATGGTCTTATGTGAATTGTGGAACAAATCTTGCTTTTGCCTGTCCTCTGCTGTGGGTGGAGTTAAATCCACATAGAAAGGTCCATGATAGCTCCCTGGATGTTTGAGTGGTAGAACCAAGAAGAGGCCAGAAGAGAAGTGTATGGGAGCCCAGTGAATCCACTCAGTACAAATCTAGTGTCATTGGCCATTACCTGAGGTGCAAAAGCATCAGCATAAACTGCTACTCTGTGGCTACAGCAAGGGCCATGGAGTAGCTTTTCAACTACTCTGAGGCACACCATACTCCCCAGAACACCTAGCTGGCCCCCTCTGAAGTTGGGCTTGCCAGAAGGGACAGGATTAAAGAGCTTGATTTGGGTAATTTTCAAGGAAACTGTACCTGAGTGCGTGGTTCCTGGCCAAGCTTGGTTGACGCTCCTGCAGCATCTCAAAAATATTTGGCTGGCGAAGAAATGCAACAATCTTATCGTTGTAAGCTGGAACAGAGAGAGACGATGGGAGCTTTTCTTTACTAACCAATGACACTTTGGGAGGTCACCACAAGTGAAAAATACCAATCAAATTGTGATAATATAGTATATAGAGTGCACTGAGAGTAAGTTACAAAATAATGCAAAGTGATTGCCTCCCAGGGCGCATCTACACATGCAATTAGTGTGCCTGAATAAAGTTTGGTGCAGTTCATGCCAGACTTTACTGCTCCAAGGGTGCAGAGTTTACACGTGCGCTTCAGACTGCAGCACGTTGGGCTGGAACAGAGGCTTGCGGGGTCAGCCTGCCAGCCTGGAGCTGCTCTGCCTCAGCTCAACGTGCTGCAGAAGAGCTGGCTGGGACACAAGAGTGCTACAGTGCAGCGCTAGCTGGCACACTGTAGCACCCTCATGACCCAGCCAGCCCTGGTCACTGTCTACATGTGCATTGTGGGAAAGTAAATAACTCCACCATAGGACAGAACTTGTGTCAGGCAGTAGTATCCTACAGTGGAGTTAATTAGTTTACTCCAGCCTAATAGTGCTGCTCATATAGACAGTGGGTATGTCTATCAGTGCATTAAGGCACTTTTCCCAAAAAGCATTAAATTTAGTACCTCCAATGTGACATACTAAACAAATGCGCATTAAGCTGCCTTAATGCGCATGGTTTGTAAACGACACTTAATGTGCAGTAGCTTATTTTACTGTGTATTAGCATAATAGCATGGTTTTTTATGTGGTGATTTAATGTGCAGCAAAATAGGCTACTGCACATTAAAATGCACATGTATGCGCACCCAGTCATGCTTTAGTGTGGAGCTAATTAGTCAGCTCTGCAATAAAGCACACATGTAGATGCCCCTCACTGAGAAAGAGCTGGTGAAAAGTGAGAAGAGGGATGTACTTATTAAATGGTCCTTACACACTTTCTGCCAAATGCCACTTGCAAGAGAAAATAAAGGCCTGACTTACCCAGAGGCAATGCTTCATGGTGGTGCTGGTTTCGAATAGCTGTTACAAGGCTGTTCCCTGGCCTGGTCAGCAGAGAAACTCCCCTATTTCGGGAAACTTCTGAGGCCTAGAGTGAAAAAGGGAAAAACAAAATATTGTAACTTAGATGGTCAGCAACACATAAGATGATGAAACCTCTTATACTTTTTCTTTTCCATGACTTCAATCCAGGGCCATGAACTGACTGAGGCAGTGCAGGAAAATTGATATTTTTAAAAAAAGTTATTGGCCAGAGTTTTTGACGTAGCATCCTAAAGCAGGACTCAACACATTAATGTTAATAACATAACAATTACCTTAGGCAAAAACTTCCATGACAAGCAATAGCTTTCCATTCTGATGGACAAATTTTCATCCAGCTTCAGGAAGACACTTAATTCTCTGTTTCTAAATGGATGCCTACAGTTAAATTGTCTACACTATAAAATTTGGCCTCTAACTGTGCTTGCACAGCTAGTTAAAGCAAAGCTTTCCTAGTGTAAATTCAATTATACCAGTATAAAAAATACTAATGCTGGGATAACTTATTTAGGTTCTTTGAAGTAAAATAAGCTATAACAGTTTAAATACTTTGTACTAAAATAACTGTATTTACACTAGATATTTTATAACATCACACCCTACTTACTTTTGTAAAAAAACACCTCCTTGGCCAACATAGCTGTGCAGGTTAAAATGTGTACATACAGAGAACAGGCCTTTACATCCAATTATCACACTCAATTTTCTGGGCAAATGCCCCACACATGAAGAAATAGGCACCTATGCAATTGTATAAAAAAACTGACTTTTTAAAAAAAAATTTGGCCGTAACATGTTTACCTGGCATCTTGGGATGAAAATCATTATTGGAATAGCATGAATAAAAAACAGAACTGGAATAGAAAACATTCTTCTTTAACTGGGTTTGTATTAATATGTATAGAAATTATGCATGTGGACTTAAAAGAGAAAACACTATGATGAACAGAAACAGGATGGGCCAAATTCAACAAAATCTTGAGAAAGTTAACTGACATCTCAGGTCCTTTATGTGGATTTTAGATCCTGGTTCTCCTGGGAAGGCATGTAACTGCATAAGCTGGAGAGAAATGGAAGAGCAGAAAGAGAACCCTTCCAAATATTTGTCCAATAGCTTAGTGCAGGGATTGTCAACCGGGGGTATGTATACCCCCAGGGGTACTTGGAAAGTTGCTAGGAGGTAAGCACAGGCGGGCAGGGATGAAGCAATACTACTCAGCACCCCGTGAGGCCACCTCCTAGGAGCAGGGCCTGTGGGGTGGAGTGGTGGGGCGAGAGCAGTGGCGCCCCTCTGTGGCATGCGGCAACAGCCACTATTATCCACCACCCTGCACTCCCGCTGCTGCATGCATCCCCTCCCCCGCCACAATGCTGCATCTGGCTGCCACCAGTGGCCCCCCCCACCTTGCATCTGCCACCAGAAGGGGTACTCTCCTTAAAAAAGGTTAAAAACCCCTGGTCTACTGATTAGGGCACTTGGTCAAGAGATGGCAGGCAGGTTCTAGGCTCTCTTCAGCCAAAGGGGCTTTGAATAAACACCTTCCACTTCCCAACAAAGTGTCATAACCACCAGGTTGAGGAGTAGGCACTGCCCAGAGTATTTTTCTGCCCTCTTGATGAAGTGTGCCCACTGGACAGTCAAGAAGAGAAGATGTGTGGGATGGGGCCAGAAGGAGAGCAAGCCAGAGGGATCTTGCTCTGGAGCTCCATGCGAAGGGCATTGGTATTCCAGAGTATACCTTTATTGAAACTATTGGAGTCATACTGGAATAACATCAGTGTGGGTGAGATGAGAATCAGGTCAGATATGCCATTCCCATACAAATACCCACTCCCAATCTGTTGAGTGGAGAGTTGCTTATTTTTTATTTTATAGAATTGTAGTGCTTAACAATCACTTTAGAGAGAGGTCGCTCCTACTCTAGTACTTGTGATGCTTCATTCTGAATCCAAGCTCCACATGATGTCAATCAGATTTCAGTGTCTGATAATTACCGTGTCTTCTAACTGGCTCCAAATGAGGATCAAGCAGCTTAATGTGCCTGACATGTCACTTTTGTAACGTATAAAACATAAAAAGCCCAGTAGGTGAGGGAGTGGTAGTCAATATATGTCAGACAAGAAAAAAATTGATGGCAATTAAATACACTGATTAATTGTACTTTAATTGATAATCCAGAGCTCCTACTAATGTGTACTGTGCACTTTTTACTCTATAAGCAATTATCTGATTTTGATCTCGCCTTCATTAGTTGTACATAGATATGTCACAACCCAAAGGGTGTGATTTTTGTTTTTGTGTGCTTTGGCACTGCTAAATTGTTCCCGTGAAATTACAGCTTCTTTGCACGGTGGAGTTTTCTGCTGCAAAAGAGAACCCCGGTGCAAGGGAGAATTTCCTGCCAATTTGAAGCTTTCTTTGCAGGGTGCATTTCTTTGTTGCAGCACAGAAATGCTCATTGCAAAGAGTTCCCGCCATTTGTATGCTAATTCGAGTCCCATTATTGGCCAGTTCTAAATTATTCACACGTGGCGGCTAGTGATTGGCTTGCTAGCCGTATAAGAGGCTTGAGTGGTTTCCGCCCAAGTT